GTGACTATTTGAAATGAATAGATATCACTAATCCTAAACATAATTACTATAACTACTGGCAGTGCCGTAGCGAGGTCGGGTATCACCCGGTGCGGCACTTAATGGTGTCACCCCCTCAGAGGCGTAGCGACTCTTCCCAGGGACAAATTTTCGATTTGCACCCCCCCCCCCCCTCAATTTTTTCTCTATATATTTTACTTTGTTTTTGCCTTGGTGTCACCCCCCCCCGCCCCTAATGGTGTCATCCGGTGCGGTCCGCACACCCCGCCCCCTCCTCGCTACCCCTCTGACTACTGGTACATGATCAAATAGTTCATCTTATCTAATTCATTTAAAACATATTGTTTTCTCACTTTTTATTAAACTTGGTAAAGCACCGTATTTTTTCTCGTTTATTTATTTGTTTGTAGTATGATCCGTTACGCCAGGGAATTGTTTTCTTTTGAGATATTTAACTCGAACTGATCTATTTAATCAGTTTTGCTCTTATATTTATACATCAATATGCCATTAAAGTTAGGTAGACGAAGATGAAAAAACTATTTTACATTACGAATGTATTTTTAAACAAATGAGCTAGGTATGTATTTGAATACACAATACGACAGTAAACAGTAGAGAATATCTTTATGAATAATTTTAAACCGACAATATTAAATCAGTGCTGAGATGAAGCGAAATTCAAGTGAAGTGCATTATTCTTAATGAAGTATATACTGTGTAAAGTACTATGTATGAAGTATACATTTAACTCCAGTTGAAATACACACCTTAACCAATGGTGCAGTACACTATACTGTTTTTATAGTATTAATAGTACTAATGTATTAATAGAATGTAGATGTAGTGCGAATTACGATAAATAAAGTAGGAAAATTAATATGGTTAAAATACGAAAATAACTCTGTGCGAACTACATAGTACGCTGGGTGTAATGCACAATACTCTGAGTACAACACACATTAGTGTGTGACACACAACTCCCTGAAGTGGTCACACACACTGGTTGAGTAGTACACACACTACTGTGTTACACACTCAGTTGTTGAGTACTACAAACACTACTGCCTGACACATTCAGTTGTTGAGTACTGCACACACTACTGTGTGAAACATACAGTTGAGTACTACACACACTACTGTGTGAAACATACAGTTGAGTACTACACACACTACTGTGTAACACATACAGTTAAGTACTACACACACTACTGTGTGAAACATACAGTTGAGTACTACACACACTACTGTGTAACACATACAGTGGAGTACTACACACACTACTGTGTGACACATACAGTTGAGTACTACACACACTAATTTGTGACACATACAGTTGAGTACTACACACACTACTGTGTGACACATACAGTTGAGTACTGTACACACTAATTTGTGACACATACAGTTGAGTACTACACACACTACTATATGGCACATGCAATCGAGTACTGCACACACTAATATGTGATACATACTGTTGAGTACTACACGCACTAATTTGTGACACATACAGTGGAGTACTACACACTTTACTACGTGACACATACAGTGGAGTACTACACGCACTAATTTGTGACACATACAGTGGAGTACTACACACTTTACTACGTGACACATACAGTTGTCTGTCTGACAATAAAACACAACACAGTCCGCGTCACAAGATGACCTAATTATCAGGCCAACCTTATCAAGATCTAATGAGCCTAAAAATAGCCCGTCCAGTAGCCGAAGCTGTTTACAACAAGCGTCCACTTTTCTTCAACGTGCCCGACTGCTACCAGGAAGTAAAAACAACGCTTGATTTAATGACGACAACACCTTGAGGCTTTTATAGGCAGATCCTTCGTCATAGTCATTAGGGCTGTGTCAACAATACTTCAAATAGGATGTTTTAAATAGGATGTGAAAGGTTAATTACAAATAATTATGTCGTTTCACGCTGTTCATAATGAGAACATTTGTGGTTTATTTTACTTTATATGTTACAGTATGTAGCTCTGTCTCAACCTAAAAGCGAACAACAAAATAGTAATACTGTATGATGGTTGTTACATTATCTATGAACCTATAATCTAAATAAGCAAGTGGTGGTTGTTTTTTTTTTACCTCCACACTGAATTAGATTGGGTACTTGAAGAGGAACTGTTTGTGACAAAAAGGGCTATTAAATACTTATTTTACCAGTCCTAATAGTAACTATTTGTTGCAAATCGTTGTCTGGCTTTTATTACATTTTTAGATTATGAAGTTTTAAGACTCTATGACTTTCTTTTAATATTATAAAACATGGCTGGTTCAATTATGGAGTCAGTGTATATTTGTGAGCACATTTTAAACAACTACAAATTTTACTGTAATCAAAAGCAAAGTTCAAGTCTCATTCCGGTCTAATAGTCTAAAGGTGAAAATCTATGATTCATGAGCTAAACTAACATCATAAAAAGTATTTTACACACTCAAGTATAACACTTTGCAAGGTTGTTTATTAACATTGAGGCCGGGTATGTATGTGATAAATGCTTAAATTTCGATTTTCAATTGCGATCTCCTAATTAGTATTGTTCATGTTATTAGATGAAGGTTGTCTTTAATAAAATTTTTTTAGTGAAATCGTTTTTCATTGTGAGTATAATTTCTGCTGAAAGTAATTACTCAGGAAACTCACTGTGTAAGAAATGGTTAGAATGATGGTGGCATAAAGCGGTAGAGCATGCGAGTGGTATCAGAATGTATCAAATTCCAATTATTATGTCCGCCTCAGTACACTAAGGTCAGCCATAATGCAATTCTTTATTTTATAAGTAGAATATATGTGTTACTGTTTAATATATCAGTAAAGAGTTGACGTTGTAACTATAACAAAACATAATGTGTCTTGTGTGACAAAAGGAAGCATAACCAAACAAAGGGTGGTTTACCCTCACACAACCCACATCCTGACTAACTGCGGATGTAGGCCTGTGCTTGTGCAACGTAAGATTGCCTGGCCTGCACCGCAGTGTGAAAGGGAGAGAATGTATGACGAATTTAAGGTTAAAGGTGACACACCAACATGGGAGGGGGGGGGGGGGGAGGGGAGAGAAATAACTGAAACAAACAAACATGGCAGATGTAAGGGCTAATTAGAGAGTACAACTGATGACATAGACATGTACTAGGCACACTTTTAGGGCAGAACTAGAAAACAAAAAGGATTTATAGGCTCTCATATCAAGGTAAAAGCTGACAGCAATTCTAAAAACAAAGAAGAGAAAAATAAAAACAGGATAGAAGGAGATGTATTGGATACACAGGTACATTCAGACACGGAAACAGAACAGGCAGATATTACATGTAAACAGTAGGGCTGTAAACGGTAAACGTATTTGACAGGTAGGCCTATACATTTTGACATTAAGGTTAAAGATGAAAATATAACAGTTTATATGTCGAATATACCAGAATTTACAGTTGAATCATAGCATGCAATCAAAATATTAATAAACACGAGCAAGAGAATAATAACATGAAAAACAAACACCCTAACTACAGGTTTATTGTATTAGACCATTTAATAAACAGACGCCATGTTCCTAGTGCTTGCATATCCTAATATATAAAAGGCCATGTGCGCTCTTCTCTCTCTCTCTCTCTCTGTCTGTCCGCAAAATATTTTCGCCGGACATCACGTCAGAATCGGCAGCTATATATGGATACCTTTATACGGACTTTTGTTGAAAATAATATGTTAGATGTTTTAAATGTATAACCACAATGTTATTTAAAGAAGAAAAATGAAAAATAAAGGCGTATTCGAATGTAGAGAAACAGTATTATTTATGCAACCGGAAAAGTGTTTAAACTTGGGACAAGAACGCATTTAACAATGACGTCGCTTATTGTTTACACTAAAAAAGAGCACGAAACTGATGACGTCATCTTCCGAGTTTAGAATAAAAAGAAATGAACTATTTCATTCAAATATGATTTAGAGCTATGTACGCTATGAAATGTATACAATACGATTTTCTCGGCCTAAACTTAAACAAATTATTTTATCTATTTGGATTCTAGATCTAGAGATTCTAGATCTAGATATTGATCTAGATCTAGATATTCTAGATCATCTAGATCTAGAGATTCTAGATCATATAGATCTAGAGATTCTAGATCATATAGATCTAGAGTTTCTAGATCTAGATCTAGATGATCTATAAAGCTAAGTTGTCGGGTGCCCGATAGGGCACTTCCCGGCGCCGCAGGCGCTTCAAATTTGGCAGGATCTTGCCTTGGGGCGTCAGAACACGTTGGCCGGTTGGCCGAAAAGTCTACGATGAGGGGGTCAAAACTGACCTCGACTGATCGGCGCCTTATATGGTCGAATTAATTAAGCATTCAAATTCTCAATGTTTCCGAAAGCCTAAGCGAAGCTGGGCAGCATGCTTAGTCTTTACAATAAACGTCAGTGATAATACTACATTTGACTGATTTTAAACTTTCTTTTTGATTTAAAACAAATTTAGATTATTTCATAATTTGTAACTTTATACAAACACCAGCAATCTGTTCAATGGCTTCTTATTAGGCCTTTGGACGGTCGATTTCAATATACATACATACATATATATATATATATATATATATATATATATATATATATATATATATATATATATATATATATATATATATATATATATTATCAGTAGTCATAAGTATATGATACAGCCGATTCTGTTTGTGTAGACCTACATCAGACCCTGTTGTCAACATTACCTAGCTGAATCAAACGACTAAAGAAAGTGATTAGTGCAAATACTAAGCCAACCCCTAACCTCTTGGGTCAGCACTAACACAGACGTAGATCTAGATGTGTCCTGGCGTAATCACATGACAGAGTCGCAAACCTTGACAAGTCGACGTGAGGGCTGTCGGTGACATTCCCACGGGCTGACGTTAACACTTAATTGCTCGCGAATATCCTCGTGGACCGCCCCGCCCGCGTCTACAACAATTACCCCCCCCCCTCAACACCAGGACACAACTGAAAGTGGATCTGGGATTACAGTGACCCACATTGGTATGACGTGGATGCAGGTATATTTGTATGCCAAAAGAAGTTGATAATTCTTTGGAAGTGTGCTCTAATATGTTGGATCATTAACGGTAAGAGCTATTTAAACATCTTGTAGATAGCTCTATTCAGACAGTTTAGATTGTCATAGAGAGAGGAAGCTGTGAAGTATAATTGGCTGCTTTGAATGTAGACGATATAGCTTCCTGGGTTAAAATACAAACAACGAATAAAATAGGTTAGCACCTCACAAATAAGTGTGTCAGAAACATCATTCCGCCACAAAGTATCGTATACTTGATAATTTAACAAAACTAAACATCAAATTTTGACGTGTGGGAAAACTTTTTTTTTTTGGTGGGGCGTGTATAACTTCGACAGTAAACTAACAAATTATAAGTACAGAGGTAGGGGGAGGGAATCGTGTTTAGTTCCTGGTTTTCCTGTAATGTAATGTGATAGGTCAGGTCAGCTTTGGCAGCTATCATTTATAGAGCGAGAGAGTGTGTGTTGCTACACACGTGTGATTCTTGAAGCATTGGCTAACACAGGTAAACACAGAGCCCAATTTAGAGTTAATAAGGTCAATGATTGAGTTATTTTATCTCCTTAATTAAGCTGTTTCATCCAATCTTTTATGTAACAGTTACCAAATTTATTCGAAAGCCTATATAAAATAAGAAACTTAACTACAAATCTACTCGCTAAGAAGGTTACATGAGAGATCAATTGAATCAGAGACTCGCCATTTAGTATATTTAGTAAGCACCAAATTAGCCGGCTAGTTTAAATTAGCAGCATATACTTGCTATTGTGTTAAGGATTTAAAAGAATTCTATTAAACGTACAGTCTAAGTTTTCTAAAGCCGAAATTAATGTTGTTTTCCTCGCAGAAGTCCTTTTTTAATAACCACACCCCCTCCCCTCTGACATACATTCAACTAGGTCTTAATATAGATTTTTAATCAACTGTACATCATTGTTATGAATTTAGAGTCTACATTTACAACTATTGTGTTATATACTTATGTGTATAGTAATTGTTAAACAAGTAACATTTAAAATTAATATCTCTAATTTATTTAATCAATTCCAAATAGCTCCCTTAGAATACATGATTAATGCTATCGATAATTGTAAACGTTCGATAATAGAGTTAAAAAAGAAAAGCTTAAATATATCTCATCTGAATACTTTATGAATTCTATGTTAAACAATGTTTAATAGTATGCTAAGCTATTTGAAGAAACACATAACATTAACGAGCATATAAAGTATACTCTAAAAAACAGCTCAGCGAACAATTAAATCGAAGCATATATACAAAGTTCGAACCTCATTTCTAAGCGGTGATTGATGAAGGACACAGAAATATATTTGTTTAACTAAATAAAGGCTGACAACTGATTCATTATAATGATGCCCACTACTTCCCACATAAAAATAACAAGTGTAAATCTTTGCATCCGTTATTTGTCGAAAACCTTAGATCATCAGCCACAATGAAACTATTGCTGCTCATCATATATTTATGCTTTTAACACTTTTGTCTTTATAATTATTCAACATATTCTAGATTCAAATTTTGAAATTCGAAAAAGAAAAAAAAATTACATATTAAGCATTATATATTACACTTACATCAAACATGTTATTACATTGACAGAGTATTGGAGGTAAATCTTGAGTGAGTTATAATTTTGTTAGGGTCGGGTATGCCCACAAGTTACCTACGAGTTGTTCATACAAAGTAACAAACTATATGCCATGTCTTATTCGTTATACACAATTCTCTACGTGTCGCAGTCACTAAGTTTAAATATCACAATATATAGTCGGGTTTCATCTTTAATGGTCAACATCTCTTAGACACTGTGAATAATAATATGTGTATATATATATATATATATATATATATATATATATATATATATATATATATATATATATATATATATATATATATATAATATCTAATATATTAAGTTGAAATAGAATCTGTGTTTCTGTATGTATGTAGCGGACCCTTTGTAGAAATTCATATAATTTTAAAAAATCGATTTGATCGCCAGTGTAAAATTCTTAAAGAGATTATTATTTCAATTAATAAAAAAAATTACATTGATGGTTTTGTAAAACAAGTTTCATTTTTCAAACTTATCATTTTAATTAACGTCATGTGAAATAAACAAAATCAAAGAAAATGTATCACCCTTCACCAAAACGTAAATTGTCTATAACTAACTTCCCTTTATTCCTCTAGTACCATTTACTTTCCTTGATAGATTACCAAACAATAAAACTTTTTAGTGCATTATTACATTAAAGCTTGTTATTGAATCGTTTTTACTTTCTCGTATATACGAAGTATAGAGAAAGTCTTGTAATCGTGCAAAAAAAAAATCGAGATTTTTACAAATCTCGACGTTTTACACCTCACTGATACGGAAAAACATAATTTTGCAATCTTGTCCGTATGTCTGTGTGTCTGTCTGTGTGTCTGTCTGTGTGTCTGTCTGTCTGTCCGTGTGTAAACACGATAACTTGAGTACCGTTACAGCTAGGTTGATGAAATTTCATATATTAGTATTTTATCAAAATCGTAGATCCGTATCAACTTTTGAGCGATTTCCGATAATCGGAAGTGGTACTTTTCCTACTTTGAATTTTTCAAAAGCCTATAACTTGAGTACTATTTCAGATAGATAAATGAAATTTCACATGTAAGTAAAAGATCTAATTCTCTACCTTCTGTTAAATTTTGAGTAATTTCCGTTGAATGGAAGTAGTACTTTACGCTACTTCCGAAGTCTCAAAAAACGAATGTAAATTATAAAAGTACTAATAATATTGCGCACTATTATGCGCTTTTTTATTTGGCGTTCACTTGGTGTGCAATTAATTTGTCTACGAGATTTTATTCTATTTTTAAAACTTTAAGTATTTAAAATGGATTAAAAATCATGTCTATAGCCCGAGTTCCCATCCCCTGTTATTTTATATAAGAATATTCGAGAAAGTTTAGGGGAGATCACTCACGGTTTATTTATATTTTCTTTTCAGTATTTTAATTTTTTTTTATTTACTACATGCCCGTATGATAGTTGGACAAGGGAGCCTACTAATTTGGACATATTTTTAATTAATTCATAAAAAATTAATTAGGCAACCAATTAAGTCAAATTTAATGTCAGGTTGCAACAGAGGCGTAGCGACCCTTCCCGGCGCCTGGGGACAAACTTTCAATTTGCGCCCCCCTCAAACTTTCGATTTGCACCCCCCCCCCCCCCCCCAAGGTCGGCGCCCGGGGACATATGTCCTCCCCCGCCCCCCCCCCCCTCGCTACGCCTTTGGGTTGCAATGCCTTCAGGTCTTGACCCACTTGCCAACTTTGAATGAAATATGTCAGTTAGAAGTGCCCGAGATTTCTCAACGGCGTTTCGATCTATGACGACAGACTGACGACAGACAGACTGTCAAAAGACAGACAGAGGAAGCCAGTTTAATAAAAGCTTGTAAAAATTATGTCTAAATCTCGAGTTACAATCCCCCTTAGTGTTATATAAGATTTTTCGATAAGGGGAGATCACTCCCCTTTAAAAAATAAAAAACTCTTTATCTCGCGAAAACACTAGTATGACCAAGTAATGAAAATTTTAAAGTAAATCATCCTCTCTATAAAAAAACTAACCCAGCAGTTATGTCTTGTATGGTAGATAAGCCCCTGAGAATGTGAGTACTGATCTATGGAGACATCAGCAGGGCGTGTTTTTGTGCTTGTACTGCTTGTCTTCTCTAAGTGGTGCTTGACTCATTTGCCAGGCATGCAGCCTGTTGTTCAACTGGCCACTTCAAGCACGCCGACTACACAGTTTATCTAGATAGTATTAAAGGCAGACACGTATTTTTTTAAATAAAACTTATTCAGGCATATTTTACTACAGATTTTTATTTAATTTAATATTATTTTTACTGGTTTTACTTTCTTATATAGGAAGTATGGAGGAAGCATCGTAATCGTGCAAACAATATAAATCGAAATTTACACAAATATCGATATTTTACAACACCCTGAATCGGAAAAACATAGGTTTACAATTTTTTTTACTATGTTTGTGTGCGTATGTGTGTGTGAGAGTGAGTGTGTGTTTGTGAACAAGATAACTTGAATACCGTTACAGCTAGGTTCATGAAATTTCATATATAAGTATTTATATCATATGTGTAGTTCTGTATAAACTTTTCAGCGATTTCCGATAAACGGAAGTAGAACTTATTCTTCTTTGGTTTTTTTTAAAAAAAAAGCTTTTAACTTGAGTAGGCCTACTGTTTGAGGTAGATAAACGAAATTTCTTAAATAAGTAAAAGATCTAATTCTCCGCCATCTATCAAATTTTGAGTAATTTCCGTTGATCGGAAGTAATATTTTAAGCTTTTTCCTATTCCTTAAATAAAACGCATATTAAGTACTAATATTCCTAACAAGTATACACACATTGTTTGCTATTCCCTTGGTGCGCAAATTGATTATTTTTCTACGAGATTCTATTTTATTTTAAAAAGTTTAAGTAATTAAAAATCATGTCAAAATCCCGAGTTCCATCCCCCGTAGTGTTATGTACGACCCGCATCGTAGCATACTCCGCTATTTTATTGTTTTATTTTTCAACTTTTCAGCAATTTATTATGTGTGAATTCGACACTACCAATGCTGCGACTGAAAATATTCCCCTCCCCTTGGTTTCAAATCGTTTAAAAACTAAATTATCTGCCCCTAATAGCTGTGCACTAATTCGACCCGGCTCTACGATTTTAAACATTCGGCGTGAGCCACAGCACAGCAGACTGATGGGATGTGGGGTCGATAGTGATATGGTCTGCTGCACATGCCTGGAGAACGAGGGAGGGGTCGGGTAGACGTACTTACGTGGTGGTGGTGGTGTCCCGCATGGTCCAACTTAGAGAATTATATACACGAGCCGACCCGCGGCGTATCATATGCCGCTATTTAGTTGTTTTATTTTCTACTTTTTATTCATTCATAATGTGTGAATTCGACAGTACCAATGCTGCCACTGAAAATATTTGCTTTAAAACACTATCAGTAAGTCGTTAAGGACGATAACCCCCCCCCCCCCTCCTTCCCCCGACCCCCTAGCCCCCCCCCCCCCCCGGTGAAAGCAGCCTCCTCTTAGCTACCTCCCCTAAGTTTAAAATCGTTTCAAACTAATTATCTGCCTCTAATAGCCGTCACTAAACCCGGCTCTACGATTGTAAACATTTAGCTTGAACCACAGCTCACCAGACTTCCTAGAGAGGAAGAGAGGGGATTGCAAGGCGCGCTTACAGCTTGTTTTCTAACGTCTCCAAGAAGAGGATTATATATATATAGATAGATAGATAGATAGATTTGAGAAAGTTTAGTTGAGATCACTATCGCTTTATTTTTCTTATAAAGACTTCTACATACATCAGCGGGGTCGGCTTGGTCGAGTCGGTAAAGCTCATGGTTGCTAAACCGAAAAGTCTCGAGTTCGAACCCTCGGGCAGATGAGGCTCGTTAGCTGGGGACAGCCACTCTTCTAGGAGAGACAACTCCAAAATTAAACAACTGCTGCCTTGTAGTTTGTTCTTGGTTGGACAAAGGCTATGGAAGCAAATCCAAAAAAGAAAAGCAGGCTGAAATCGGAGTCAATGGCCTCAATGGCGCATAACCAGTTGACACGTAACGCTTAATTGTGTTGGAGGCGTGGTCGAGTCGGCAAAAAGCTCATGGTTGATAAATTCGAAACAGTCTCGAGTTCAAACCCACTGGCAGATAAATCTCGATCCCCTTCAACACTAATAATTAAGAACGAAGAAGAAGAAGAAGAAGACATACATCAGCTTGAGTATTTCTTTGTGCATTACTTATGAAAAGAAAACGATAAATAATGTAATTATTGCAAAGGTTTTATCATCATTGGGGTCTTTCTGCTAACACCACTTTGAATAGTTGAGTTACTGTTGATTTTAACAGTACTTAAAGTTAACCCTGCTTTAAGCAATACCACTTAGTTGATAACAGAAACCGTATTATTTGTAACTAGTCCCACAAAGTGGCTGATTTGTAAGTAGCAGTTAACTGTCTTCCCTTTTTTAAACATAAGTACTAGCAAGACTTCATAAATAACTGCAGTTACTGCTCCTACATTAAGATCATTCATTAAGAGACTGATTTAGATAATGTTTTAAAATCGATTCTTCTTCGCCGCTTAAAAATGTGCATATTTTCAAACCTGATTAAACTCACTTATTTAACTCATGACCTTGTGTGAAATTCAAACAAGAATACAGATCAAAACACAATTTCATGTATTGGTTCGTAAAAACGTAAAATCATTGGCAACTCAAACCAACAACCCGTATCTTCTATTTCTTCTAACATTCTTCTGACAATTACTTACCACTATCACAGTTATGTCATAAAAACATCTCTATCGCGAAGACCATCACAAGTAAAGGATGTCAACTAGACTCAAGATTATATTCGCCACTATAATGCTGTCACTGACGCATGTCACGACTCAAGGTAATTTTTTTAATGACTTAATTTTAATTGGTTCCAAAATGTTTAATAACTTTGAGATTGATCTGTAGGTGGTTGACGATCTATATGCATCGGAAATAACAGCAGATGTACAGGCGCTAAAGTGGACAGATCTTGTGACAAAAAAAGTACCACACACATGTCTGACGCTGAGCTAAGCGCCGATAAGAAAGCCAAGAGAAAGGCTATGGATCTAGTTGCGATTAGTTAAAAATGTGATATTTATGGTATATAACATAGTCTATAAACCGTAGTTTCAGTAATGTGTTAACTGTTGTTGTTGTTGTTATTTGTGTATGTCTAAGAGTATGTGTGTGTGTGTGTGTGTCTGTGTGTGTCTGTGTGTTGCAGAACTTTTAAATTTGTATTTAATTAATATTCAAAAAAGGTGCCTTTATCGTTAAAATGCTCCCACTGCCCCCCCCCCCCCCACCCCGCATTCAGTATACATGATAATATTTTGACCAACATGTCGCTATACTTAGGTGTATGGGGTGAGACAGAGGATTGGGTTTAATGTGTGGTTGGGGTTTTAGCGGGAATGTGAGGGTGTTTTTTTAGTCGATCTGTGTTATATCTATCTACAGCATGTAATGTTGGCTGGTTTGGTACCAACTGTCAGTATAAATGTCACTGCAGCAATAACCAACAATGTGACGATAGCGGAAGGTGCACGAGTGGATGTGATCCTAAATGGTTTGGACCCAGCTGTCAATTCGGTACTTTTGTAAAGGATTAGTATGACCTGATATAAATATTTCTGATTTGTAATTCAATTAAATTTTAAAATAGTAATAATAATCTGAAGTATGATACATTAAAAACATTTACTTAAATACTTTTATTTCCACAGAGAATATTGCTGACATAAACACAATTAGTTCACCCTTTAAAAATAATGACAACTGTGTAAAAAGAGGTTTACCTGTTGAGATCAAGTGGAATAGAGAGTATATACTTACATGGATGAGATTAGTGTTTAGTCACAGTGAGTGGCTCTTTAACTTTATTAGAGATGTAACTAAACCGTGAAATATTCGGTTTTAAATAATGTAAAATTAAAAAAAAAAGTAAATTCGTATGTAATGTATAGCCTTAGATAAAACATATGCTACATGACCAACAGATTACTAGCATTAAAAAATACTGAGTTTTGTTGCAATTTGTGTCTATCTGTCCATCCATCCCTTCATGCGTCCGTCCGTCCATCTCCCCATTCATCGGTTCATATTTCCGTTTGTCTGTCTGCATGTTTATTTGTCTGTAACATATCTGTATCTGTAACAGTGTACCAGTAGTCAAACAATAAGCGTCATACTTAGCGTATCGAATGGTCTCGGTCGCAAACCGTCTATCTAAAAAAAATCGATTTTCTTTTTTTTTACATAAATCAAATTCCAGTATGATTACCCATAATGCCTGAAAGTATTATAGAAATCTGTAGAATGATTATCGAGATATAATCATTTAAACAAGCCGCCTATTATTTCAAGCGCTAAAAATCTCTGCGCAAAACGAATATCGCTATATTTGTCAGTACACTTTTCATCGGAAACGCAATCACACAATTTTACACCACAGCAGTCACAGTACTTATAGGTAAGGATATTTGATTAATTATGTTTAGCTATTCCATTAAGTTTTATCATTTTAAAGAATCATAAACAAATAGTATATGTTTAATATAGCCTATTTCTAGATTTTCAATAACCAAACTGATTTGTTTACATTTTTTTTAGGCTAACACAATTCCTTGAAATAGTCTTCATTCTAGAATCTAAATATCAATCAAAACAAAATATTCGAATTATATTTCCATAAGATTGTGTAATAAATTTAATTTTTTTTGACTCACTATTAGCTTTAGATTGAGGGTTTATCTACGTGTTAAGAAATGTTTTTATGGTAGGTTAAAAAATGTTTGGCGTACATGGTTAGTTGTCTTTACTAAATGCTTTTATTATTAATTTTTCAAAAGACAAGCCTCTCTCAACACACCAGATTCTCTCAACATACCAGCCTCTCTCAACAGACTAGCCTCTCTCAACATATCAGTCTCTCTCAACATATCAGTCTCTCTCAACAGACCAGCCTCTCTCAACATACCAGCCTCCCTCTCTCAACATACCAGCCTCTCTCAACATACCAGCCTCTCTCAACAGACCAGCCTCTCTCAACAGACCAGCCTCTCTCAACAGACCAGCCTCTCTCAACAGACCAGCCTCTCTCAACACAACAGACCAGCCTCTCTCAACAGACCAGCCTCTCTCAACAGACCAGCCTCTCTCAACATACAAGCCTCTCTCAACAGACCAGCCTCTCTCAACAGACCAGCCTCTCTCAACAGACCAGCCTTTCACAACAGACCACTCATAACATACAAAAGACCAAACTCTTAAATGACCAATCTTGCCATACAGGACAGCAGAATATCTCAACAAACTAGCATAACCCTCTAAGACACCAGCCTCTATCAACAGACCAGCCTCTCTCCACAGACCATTCTTATTATAAAAGAAATCAGCCTCTCTCAAAAGGTTAGTCTTATCATACAATAGGCACGCCTCTCTCAACACACCAGTCTTACCATACCTGTCACCAGCCTCTCTCCACAGACCATTCTTATTATAAAAGAAATCAGCCTCTCTCAAAAGGTTAGTCTTATCCTACAATAGACAAGCCTCTCTCAACACACCAGTCTTACCATACCTGTCACCAGCCTCTCTCCACAGACCATTCTTATTATAAAAGAAATCAGCCTCTCTCAAAAGGTTAGTCTTATCCTACAATAGACAAGCCTCTCTCAACACACCAGTCTTACCATACCTGTCACCAGCCTTTCTCTACAGACCATTCGTAACATACAATAGACCAGCCTCACTAACAGACAATAGACACCAGCCTCTCTCAAAAAGACCTTTCTTAGGGGTCATCCATTTATGACGTCCACACGCGAGGGGGGGGGGGGGGGGTCCGAAAAAAACTGACTTTTGTGGACGCATATGGACTTGTATAAGAAAAAAAAAGTGGATTTTTGTGGACGGGGGGTGGGGGGGGTCCCAAAATCCAAAAAAAATGTGGACGTCATAAAAGGATGACCCCTTACCATACAAGAGACCAGCCGCTCTCAAAAGACCAGTCAGGCCTATCAAGAATTCAATGCGACAGATATTCGTGCACTGCAGTACAACCCTGATGCTACTATCTTTTTTAAAGTGAATTAGCAGATAGCTGACAATTGCTAAGCTGGGTCGTAAGATTATGATCTCATCTGTAGCCTATGACAAGTTGTACAAGAGCAGAAAAAAAAGCTGTCATTTATGAGCACCTAAAAGCAAGTCATTTAAAAATAGGTTGCCATTTTAATGTTTCTTCGTGTGACGTTTATTTAAAGAATAAATTTAAAAAATAAACACATTTTTTGTTAAATTTTGTAAAATAAGTGAACATTAAGTCATTGTTAATGTGATTAATGTGTTATGTCTCTTTCATAATATATCTGACAATAAGGTTTATATTTTTACTATTATCATTCTACAAACCCAGCACCCACCAGATTTAGTAAAATAAACTGTGAGAATAGAAAGATGTAATAAATAAAGCATAACCTTCAACAGTTAACAAGTCTAGTGCTAAATACAGCCATAATGAATGAACAGTCGAAAGCGATAAAGCCATACTAAAACATATCTACTAAAATTAAACTGACCCCATAAAGTAGAATAAACTCAATTAAAATATGAGCCCAAAACTATCATCTAAATATTGTGAAGTGTTAATTATAACTTAAAAACATAAACATAACTAAATCACGTTCATTGGACAAAACGAACGAACGCTGCTTAGACCGGAAATCTCGGTTCAAAACAGCTAAGTCTGCGCGCGCACAGATAGACGTTATGGCAGCTAGAGTTTTAGACCGAGCAAAACCGACTATCTTTGAAATCTGCTATAATTTTGTAAATATTAACAAAACTCATTTTAAAATGCTACAGTATAGTCGGTAGAGAGTTTCTTCGCACCTATTATTAAAAAAAAATTTGTATTAGAGCGATCAACAAAGAAATAATCAGATTTTTGTCTCTCCTGAAAAGTTTACATTTTTTTGAGTTAGACAGTTTGCGACCGAGACCATCGTAATGTTTTATGGTCACCAATTTAAGTGCATCATTATATTTAAAATCAATTTAAAGCATATATATATATTAACTCCGCATGTATTTATTTATCTTAATTATGAATTATTTACTTTTTTTTCCAAATATAACAATCAACTCAAGTTATATTTTATATTAATAAAATATTAATACAACCCTATGTTTTTTTAACAGAAGCAGAAACAAATATATCTGTTACAGCAAACAGCAGCAAAGGTGAATCCATAAAGTGTATCAACCACACTATTACTGTAATTAACGAAACAACTTTAGATTTCCATTGTAACCATTTAATCTACATGAAGGAAGTTAAGATAGAGATGTCTTCAAATTCAAGTCTATGTTCCTTATTTATAAGTGGAGGTCAGTTTTATAAATAAATAAATAAATATATATATATATATATATATATATATATATATATATATATATATATATATATATATATATATATATATATATATATATATATATATATATACATAATAACATATGTAAATATATTGCCTATAAGAACATAATAGTGATTAAGATGCGGCTGTGTTTAATTAGTATACATTAACTGAATATGATAGAACTATAATGCCCCCATACTATGATATTTACACTGTTTAATTTGTCTGACGCAGGACGTAACGTTGCCATAAAACAACTGGCAAAACAGACAGGAACTTATACTGACCTCAACTATCAGTATAAAGATACCCATGCCGAGAACGCTGTCGACGGTAACACTAGTGGAGACTTTAAAAATGTCAAGAGCTGCACACATACAGATACAACAGACATACCGAAATGGAACCTAACTTTGAGTAAAACATTTCCAGTTTACAAATATGTCATCTATAACAGAAAAGGTATTAGTTTATACTCCACATGTGGGGACTTTGTTTATATTTTGTTGTATAAAGGGTATAGAGAACAATGTATTCCGGCATAAAAATTAAATTAAATTTTGACAGTTTTCGATGTGGTTCACCTTCCTACTTTATCGAATACGAAATGTAAAGAATGTATTGTAAATGTTGAAAAAATCTCAATTGTGATGTTGAAAAATATGACATTTTACAACCTTCCGGTGTAGGAAAATGTAGTTTTGCAATCATGCCTATCTGTGTGTGTGTGTTTGTGTACGTGTGTGTGTATGGGCCTGCAAACCATAACTTGAGTACCATTTTACTTCTCTTGAATGTAACAGCTCGTATTCTGTATGATATGACAATACGGTCGTTATTGTGGGTTCTTTTATTCAGGAACACGATAAAAAATACTTTTAAGTTTCAACTTTATTTACATAGATCCACAAGAATAATGACAATAATCCACAGTAGTAGAAACTACTATCATATTACAATCTAGAAACAAATTGACGTGGTGACATCTTACATCTTACTACACAGACATAGGCAAGCACCCTTAGTTTACCTTGCGCTCCCCTTTTATACCTTACATTCTCTTCACTTACGTCAGTGAGCGATCTCACAAAAGCATGGGAAAAACTTTCATACATGGTGATGTGATCTTATTCGCTGCTTTCTGTCAAATTTGAGTGGTTTCCAGTGACTGGAAGTAGTACTTAACTCTAGTTCTGATTTCTCAACAACGGTGGCTATAATCAATAATGTTTCTAAAAATGAATTTTTTTATATATATTTAACAGACAACGCTGATCGGCTAAGGAACTTTACATTAAAATCAAGCAACAGCAAAGGAGAAGTGTTTTCTTACCAGGATCCAAACACCATACAGCCAGTCTATACTGTCCTTCACAACAACACAAACAGAGACATTAATTCCGTTGAAATTAGTATTGTCAACTCATCCAAGATTCTTACTTTATGTGAGGTTGAAATTTACGGAGGTGAGAAACAATGTGTTGTGTAATGTTGAAACCATCAGATAAAGCAGGCTGCATGTGTTAAGTAAACGGACAGTTCTTGTCTAGCACCAGAACGGTCAACTGCTCCATCGGGTCACAGGGTCACCACTCGAGATAGGTGTGAACAAAGCTTGGCTTCTTATCCTCGACTGTCTGACTGGATTAATGGGCATTGCACGTGCCGGCTATTCTTTTTTACAATTAACTTATTGTTTAACTTTTAAGACAAGAGTTTTAGGTTTTTAGCATAAAGAGCTCTACCAATTGTCTAATTGGCTGACTCGTAGGCTAAGGCTATGTTTTGTTAAAGCATATTTTGTGAACATATTTCCCTACATCTGTATCCCACCAGACTCCATCTGTGAGCACGGCAAGTTTGGCCGAGACTGTGAGTACTCGTGTAACTGTGACGTCACATCTGAGACATGCTTGGTCAGTACAGGCGGATGTCCGTCTGGTTGTAGAGCTGGTTTCTATGGTGAAGGATGTATTGCCAGTAAGTTTTTTTTTTCATTTTGAATTTTATATGTTGTTTTAAGTTTCAATACGCTTTAACTTACACAAGTTTGTAAAAAAAATAATGTGAAAATTAAAATCCGTAACATCAAAGGTTTTAATTCCGTGAACCGCTAGGCCACGCCGCCCCATAGAAAGCTAGACTGCTAATCCGTAGGTCTCGTGTTCGAATCGGGGTTCGTCACCAGACCGTCCCTGAGTCCACCCAACTCTGATGGGTACCTAACTCACGTTTGGGAAGTAAAGGCGGCTGGGCATAGTGCTGACCACAACATACCTTCAAATGCAGAGTTCACAGAAACAGGTGAACTCTACTTCACTTGCCCAATAGATCGTTAGGTTTGGTAGGGTAACAATACTTTAAGTCCAGTTTATTTGATTCATAGGCCTACCTGTAATTAATCTCGCAGGAGTAAATATTGTGGTCTTTAAAACCCTGTCGGTCGTGGTTTACAGCAATCGATTATCTCCTTGCAACTTTCACCACGCGAAAAAATGCAAGGTTTTAAAAACGACTCAAAAATTCTCCTGAACCGTTGAACCAGCATCAGATGTACCCATGGAATCACGACGTGAGGATACATACAATTGACGAGTGTGGGTTGTCTTGAGCTGTTTAAAAACAAAGTTTTTCTAGACTACGCTTGGATCAACTATCTCTACAACACAAACGTTACTGCCATTTCCAGGTGTTGAAGGCAAATAGAAAGAAAAACTGTTAACACGTTTTCATGCTGCCAGCTGACATTAAACAAAGGATAGATTTAAGGTAATGACTCTAATCATGGAACAATGGTGTTGACCCACAAGATGGAGCTAATTTAATGACTTTATTCATGGAACAAGGGCGTTGACCGATTAGATTGAAAAAGCTATTGACCTATAGGATGGGGCTAGGGTATTGACCCCAAGGATAGAATTTAGGTGTTGATCTAAAGGAAGTTGTTGGCCCTATGAATGGAGCTAAGTTGTTGGCCCTATGGATGGAGCTAAGTTGTTTGCCCTAATAATGGGCTAAGGTATTGACCCTAATGATAAAGCTAAGGTGTTGATCCTAATGTTGGAGTTAAGTTGTTGGCCTTTTGGATGGAGCTTAGGTGTTGGCCCTAATGATGGAGCTAAGGTGTTGACCCTAATGTTGGAGTTACGTTGTTGGCCTTTTGGATGGAGCTTAGGTGTTGGCTCTAATGATGGAGCTAAGGTGTTGGCTCTAATGTTGGAGCCAAGATGTTGGCTCTAATGTCGGAGCTAAGGTGTTGACCCTAATGTTGGAGCTATGGGTTGACTCTATGGATGGAGCAAAGTTGTTGATCCAAAGGATGGAGCTAAGGTGTTTCTAAGAATGGAGTTAAGCTACGGACCCTACGGATAGAGCTAACGTGTTGACCCTAATGATGGAGCTAAGGTGTTGACCCTAAGGACAGAACAAATGTGTTGCATCAAAGGAGGGAGAACGAGTGTTTACCCTGCAAGCCTAAAACTACTCTATTGAATTTAGATCAGACTAAGAAACAACAAAAAAAAACATATTTAGTGATGATTTAAAAAACAAATCATTAACTTTAAACACCGATGTTTGATGTGTCTGTAATTACATTACCTGACCCTCCCAGTTGCCTGATTATCGCCTGAGGTTATTTGGTAATTTTTGCACTGGCTGACGCCAAGACAAATTAACGAATGTAAGAAATCCGAAGTTTTAAATTGTTTTTATGAACATTAAAATATTAGGTATACAGGCTATTAAAATTAAAGCAATGCAATCATATTCCTCACTACAGAATTATTATAGTAGTTAAAAAATTGCATATATATATATATATATATATATATATATATATATATATATATATATATATATATATATATATATATATATATATATATGTATATATACGTAAGCTATATATATATTTTTGCGCCTATGTGTGTGGTAATGTTTGTGTAGGTATATTTGTTTTTCCATTTCGGCTTTTGAAATCGGTAATTCATAACATATTTCTGTTTGTTTTCCCCATTAACAGTTTTAAGTGAAATACTAAACCCTCTACAAAACGACCTAGTCCCCCCCCCCCCCCCCCCCCCAAAGTAGGTAGATAAATCTCCGAGCCCACCGCGCTAATTCATCAATCCTGAGGTCAGGCCGAGTGACACATCCCCTCGTTCACCTGGGGCTCACGGCGCCCCCATACATCATGTACAGCAAACAGCCCTATGGCCAGAGCTGTTGGCTGGCCTAATGTTGTGTAGAGAAATGTAGCCTAATGTTGTGTAGAGAAATGTAGCCATTAAAGTGCTGAACACTTTCAGCCTCAACTTTTCAAAGTGTGTGTCACGTGTCAATATTCAGATCGTTTTTTATTTCATTCGATGGTACACGCTATGTGCAGGCCATAAATGAACGAAATTAGCACGTGTTTTTTTCTAATGGATATTTTGTTCTTTACTATGTGATTACGTGACTTTCTTCGCCTTCTCTGGATTGTTTAACGAGAAGACTAAACAACGAGTTTTCTAGTTTAAGCTGAGCAAGGAGAATGTCGACCACCCCAGCACCAGGTAATTTCTTGTATTTGTTTTCTGAATTTTCAAATAACATGTTTTGATATGAGTTACAAGTCTATCGGAGTAATACATACGTTTGAAATAGAAATGAATATTTATGTTAAACAGTGGTCGGCAACATACTTCAATTATATAGGCCTACACGTAAAATTATATATTGTAAAATGTTGCATATATTTATTTATTTGTTTCATAAAACGAATGCCATATTACTTTCGTTTTCTAAGCTTTTATATAACAGCCGAAATGTGTGTATTCAATTTCGTAGTTTTCCGGATAACTATAATTGTCAATATAATTATCAAGTGCTCACACAAAGTTAAACAGCACAACCATACGACATATTTTGTATTCTGCCTAGCTGTATTTCCTCTACCACCACACACATCAATAGTATGACGTATAGTCATCTAACGTTCAAGTCAGTTTTCATGGGTAAAAATCTTCTGACACAATAACCATTAATAGTTATACTACATGTCGTACTACAAACATTAGTTCTGTAAAAAAAAAATACATCTGAAATCACACCAATCAAGAATTAAGTCCCATGACACCAATCAAAAGAATAAGATAATGTAAAGAGGTATCGGCTGGTCATTTAAATTTTAAAAATTATAAATAAAAAACAGCTTTACTCTTATCTTACTAACATTCTGTATCAAGCAAGTATTAACTAAAACACTAAGCTTTGTATTTATAAACGATAGAATTTATGCAGTAATTGAATAAGCACTTCTTAGAAATTTATTTTACTTTAATTCATTGAATAAAATTGGTAGTCTACCTGTTTAAGCTCCACTGACTTAGTGAATTTGTATTTCAGGATGTCCCGCGGGTTTATGGGGTTCGCAGTGTACAAGCAAATGTCCAGAACATTGCCATGACGACGTGTGCACGTTCGGGTTTTGTATGGGCTGCAAGCCGGGCTGGACGGGCCTAAAGTGTGACCAAGGTCAGGAAATTGGTGCTGTCACTGGATAGTCTGTGTGACAAAGATTTGTCACAATTATGTCTGTTGTTTTTACACAGCTTCATTGTTCATTATTTAACACTATAATATATTCATCGTTAATATAATGCCATGTAATTTAAATTTTTAGAAACTAAAATATAATAAAAATATAATTTGTTTATTTGCTAACAATAATAATTAGGTATGCAAAATAGTGTTAACATTATCACAGTGTTTGCTTCTTATACTTTTTATACTATATCTTCTTCTTCTTATATTATATCTTATTTAACACGAACAGATCTAGCTTACCAAACATGTAATTTTAACGCTGGTTTCTTTGTACTATATTTCGTGAACTTAATATTTGATTCAGTTACATTGTATGCTAAAATAAACTAACATTATTTATTTACTCAAATTCATAGATTGCTATATCTGTCGCTTAATTTTTATGTTTTAACATTATATATCCAAAGATTATATTTGTAATGTGTGAAATGATGTTAAATTTAATGACACACTTTTTTGTTTACTTAAAATTATTGTTTTCGATAAATAAATGCAAACATTATATATATATATATATATATATATATATATATATATATATATATATATATATATATATATATATATGTATGTATATATATATATATATATATATATATATATATATATATATATATATATATATATATATATATATGTATGTATATATAAATATATATATATATATATATATATATATATATATATATATATATATATATATATATATTTATATATACATACATATATATAGATATATATTTTTTGTTGTATATGTATATGTATATATATATATATATATAGGTTATATATATATATATATATATATATATATATATATATATATATATATATATATATATATATATATATATATATGACATCTTTTCAATATAAATAAATGAAGTTTAAATTATTGTAACCATATGTTTTATTATTTAAATCAACTACATATTTAAAAATCAATATAAATATATACATGCATACATTATTATAAGGAGAGAGCGAGAGAAGAGAGAGATAAATATATCTATTGTCAGCGTGTGTTCATGTTTGTGTGAGTGTGTATGGGTTTGCATGTAGGTGCATCGTTTAGTTTTATGAATTCAATATTATTTATTAAAATCTAAATTTAAAACAATCTCACTTGACCTGTATCACTTTACATGTTTCAGCCTGCCCATCTGGCAAGTATGGTAAAGATTGCGCCAACTACTGTGATCTGAGATGTTATGGTACACAGTGTGATCACGTGACTGGTGTCTGCACCAATGGGTGTGAAGCTGGGTACATGCCTCCAAACTGCCAAGAGGGTAATCCTAAAATAGTCAATAGTCTTTACTTTTATATTCATTTTTTATGTAAATTATTTTTATCTTAACTTAACAGTAAAAATACTTTTGTGCTAATGCAACTTTGGTTATTTAAAACAGAATGTAAGGCTGGCTTTTACGGAATGAACTGTTCCAGTACCTGCTCCAGTCATTGCAACACGACTTGTAAGGCAACAGATGGAACTTGTCAATGTAAACCAGGATATGAAGGAGCAACTTGTACAAACGGTAGAGTCATCGAGATTGCTGATATCTTTCACTAAGTTTACAATAAACTTTATAATTATGTGAGAGGTTTCCTCGTTTTATTTACACACGGTATTTTTGCTGATTTGAACACGATTATATTTTTGTGTAATATTTTCACACTTTCATTAAACCTGTGTGTAACCTGACTGTCTATGCTGTTTCACAATTGATCAATTATCATGTTTTTACCTTCGTACCATGTACCTACTACCTCAGAATTTATGTCCTACTTAGTACCGCCAATAGGCACAAACCAAGTAGGCCTATGTAGCCAATTTTTTTTTAAAATTGTCATTTATTGTCAACCTGTAGCCTATGTTTTAACAGTTTAAAAACGTATTGAAATCTATGTCGCCAGCATGTAGAGAAACATTCTACGGTGTAGATTGTAAGGCCAGCTGTAGCATGAACTGCTTGAATCAGTCTTGTGACAATGTTGATGGTAGATGTAAGGAGTGTATTCCTGGCAAAACTGGAGACTTCTGTGAAAAAGGTACGTTTTCTTTTAATTTCACATGTGTGAAAAAAACACGTTTTAGCAATATTTGTGTTGAATACTATCGTGTTTATCAGTTTCTAGTCATCTGTTTTAAAACAAAATTCTGTCCTGTTGTCACAATGTTAAATTGTCCATAATGTCGTGTTGTCACAATGTTAAATTGTCCTTGATGTGGTGTTGTCACAATGTTAAATTGTCGTGTTGTCACAATGTTAAATTGTCCTTGATGTGGTGTTGTCACAATGTTAAATTGTCCATGATGTCGCGGTGTCACAATGTTAAATTGTCCTTGATGTGGTGTTGTCACAATGTTAAATTGTCCATGATGTCGCGGTGTCACAATGTTAAATTGTCCTTGATGTGGTGTTGTCACAAAGTTAAATTGTCCATGATGTTGTGTTGTCACAATGTTAAATTGTCCATGATGTCGTGTTGTCACAATGTTAAATTGTCGTGTTGTCACAATGTTAAATTGTCCTTGATGTGGTGTTGTCACAAAGTTAAATTGTCCATGATGTTGTGTTGTCACAATGTTAAATTGTCCATGATGTCGTGTTGTCACAATGTTACTGTGGTTTGAGCGTGTTCTGGAAAAGGCATATTGTTGCGTTCTATGTCAGATGAAAAGTTAATATTCTAAAATTACCATGTCTGTTCTTTTAGCTCAATCGTAAAAATAATGGCAGGTCTATATTTTTGCAATATGACTTCATTTCGTTCAGGGGTAGGAGATAGATGTGTTTCGGGGAAAGGGGTGGGAGGAAGGGACACCTCTGAAGAAGGGCTTGAAAGAAACTCTGCACATGAGTAGGCCTAAGCTATAGCTATCATAGCACGGAGACGACATATCAACCAAAGTATAGACTGAGCTTCATGCAGTCAGCCACTCATGTTGTCAATGGATCTAAAGAAAATTACATTCACAACGTACTCCGAGACAATGGTCTCAAAACACGTGTAGGGCATCCAATCTAATAGACATCTATTCATTAAAACAAATATCACTAGGAACTAAACATAATATAACATGATCACAAATATTCTGATATGAGCTTGATTCTACAACATTTATTAACGCGGAATTCTTAGACTGTGAACCAGGATTATATGGCCCAAAATGCGCCAGCAAATGTGAGTCAACTTGTAAAGGAGCAAATAATGACTGTAGGCCAGAGAATGGAACTTGTTTACTTGGCTGTGATGATGGATACAGAGGAGAACTGTGTCGAGACGGTAAGAATATAATTTTAGATTTTACGTTAAATACTTCAGCATACAATTAGAACTTTTGTTTTAAACATACCGTGTGTTATCGAGTCATCTATAATAATAGTTTCGCTGTCTGTGTATCTATCTATCTGACAAGAACGCTCTGGAACGCTCTAGAGAAAACATAAGCAAAAAAGGAACGCTCTAGAGAAAACATAAGCAAAAATTCTGACAAGAACGCTCTAGAGAAAACATAAGGAAAATAAAAACTCTCACAGTGAAACGAAAGACGAAGTATGACGTCGCCACATTTAGTGCACTGACGTCATTGATTATCGCGTAAACATTGAAAAAAAAGGAAATGTTGTCTAATCTAAATGGTTTGCGTGAAGAGTTTCTTGCATACAATTCTTCGGGTAGGGGCGAAGCCCCACCCCACGCGTAAGAACGTCTGAGCCCCCCCCCCCCCTCCCCAACTCAAAAGAAATTTCTTCATCGATACTCTATAATAAAATTACCGCCTAATTAATGTGTCTAATCTAAAAAGTGGTTTTCTTGCAATTTCTTTAATGCAATTCTTCGGGTAGTGGCTAAGCGCGACACCAGTGTTTCTTTCAGACTTTTTCCTCCCCGGAGAGGGATGGGGGTAATTGAAATTTTCGGGGGCTGGGGTAGAATTTTCGGGAAGGGGGGCGGACACTGGAAAAAGTATATAATTATATTTCGTTGAATGGGACGGTAGACATGATTTTTTTGGGAGTGGGGGGTGGGGGGTAGGGGGTGGGGGTGGTGTGTGTGGGGGGGTGGGGTGGGGTGGGGGGGTTTCCTCATCGATACTCTATAATAAAATTACCGCCTAATTAATGTGTCTAATCTAAAAAGTGGTTTTCTTGCAATGTCTTTAATGCAATTCTTCGGGTAGTGGCTAAGCGCGACACCAGTGTTTCTTTCAGACTTTTTCCTCCCCGGAGAGGGGTGGGGGTACTTGAAATTTTCGGGGGCGGGGGTAGAATTTTCGGGGAGGGGGCGGACACTGGAAAAAGTATATAATTATATTTCGTTGAATGGGACGGTAGACATGTTTTAAGGGGGGGGGTGTGTGGGGGGGGGGGGGGGGGTGGTGTGTGTGTGGGGGGGGTGGGGTGGTTTTAGTTTAGACTTTTTCCTCCCCGGAGAGGGGTGGGGGGTACTTGAAATTTTCGGTGGCGGGGGTAGAATTTTCGGGGAGGGGGCGGACACTGGAAAAAGTATATAATTACATTTCGTTGAATGGGACGGTAGACATGTTTTTTTAGGGGGGGGTGGGGGGTGGGGGGGTGGTGTGTGTGTGGGGGGGGGGTGTGTGTGGGGGGGGGGGTGGTTTTAGTTTAGACTTTTTCCTCCCCGGAGAGGGGTGGGGGTACTTGAAATTTTCGGTGGCGGGGGTAGAATTTTCGGGGAGGGGGCGGACACTGGAAAAAGTATATAATTATATTTCGTTGAATGGGACGGTAGACATGTTTTTTTAGGGGGGGGGGGGGGGGTGGGGGGTGGGGGGGTGTGTTTGGGGGGGGTGGGGGGGTGGTGTGTGTGGGGGGGGGGGGGGTGGGGTGGTTTTAGTTTAGACTTTTTCCTCACCGGAGAGGGGCGGGGGTAGAATTTTCGGGGAGGGGGCGGACACTGGAAAAAGTATATAATTATATTTCGTTGAATGGGACGGTAGACATGTTTTTTGGGGGGTGGGGGCGGGGGGGTGGTGTGTGGGGGGTGGGGGTGGGGTGTGTGGGGGGTGGGGGTGGGAGGGGGTGGGGGATGGTGGGGGGGGGGTTGGTTTTAGTTTAGAGAAAAGAGACAGCACCATCAGCCTAGCGCCCGTTGTATCCTTCCTCAACGGGCCATTTTTCTAGTTAATACTAATAGTTTCGCTGTCTGTCTATCTGACAAGAACGCTCTGTCTGACAAGAACGCTTTGTCTGACAAGAACGCTCTAGAGAAAACACAAGCAAAATAAAAACATGCACAGTAATTCGAAAAACGAAACGAAATATGACGTCGACACATTTAGCGTAGAGTAGAACATAATCTCAAACCAGAGAGTGCACACAGTAAAATGACGTCATTGATTATCGCGTAAACATTGAGAAAAAGGAAATGTTGTCTAATCTAAATGGTTTGCGTGAAGAGTTTCTTGCATACAATTCTTCGGGTAGGGAAGCCCCACCCCCCGCGTAAGAACGTCTGAGCCCCCCCCCCCCTCCACAACTCAAAAGAAATTTCCTCATCGATACTCTATAATAAAATTACCGCCTAATTAATGTGTCTAATCTAAAAAGTGGTTTTCTTGCAATGGGACGGTAGACATGTTTTTTTTTTGGGGGGGGGGGGGGGGGGGGGGGTGGAGGGGTGGGTGTGGGGGGGGTGGGTTGGTTTCAGTGTTTCTTTCAGACTTTTTTCCTCCCCGGAGAGGGGTGGGGGTACTTGAAATTTTCGGGGGCGGGGGTAGAATTTTCTGGGAGGGGGCGGACACTGGAAAAAGTATATAATTATATTTCGTTGAATGGGACGGTAGACATGTTTTTTTGGGGGGGGGGGTGGGGGGTGGGGGGGGCGGTGTGTGGAGGGGGTGGTGTGTGGGGGTGAGGGGTGGGGGTGGGGGTGGTGTGTGGTGGGGGGTGGGGGTGGTGTGTGGGGTTGAGGGGTTGGGTTGGGGGTGGTGTGTGGTGGGGGGTGGGGGTGGGGGTGGTGTGTGGGGGTGGGGTGGGGTGGGGTGGGGGTGGTGTGTGGGGGGGGGGTGGGTTGGTTTTAGTTTAGAGAAAAGAGACAGCACTATCAGCCTAGCGCCCGTTGTACCCTTCCTCAACGGGCCATTTTTCTCGTTTTTTAAAATTTGTTTTGAATACAAGTTATATAGAATGCACGCTCAGCAAATAATGAGTGTCATGCAGTGGCCCCCGAAATACATTACACACCGGGTGATAGTTTTTAAATTTTAAAGTGTGTACAGTTCATAGTAAAAAGAATTTTATATATAATCAGTTATTAACCAATTTGGATTAACCCTAAATTCAACACACAAAAAGCATATTTTTTCTATAAATTTTGAAAGTTTTCGCCATGGTGTCACCCCGTGCGTCCACATCACTCCCCCCCCCCCCCCACACACACACAAACACACACCCCGCCTCGCGACGCGTCTGGTGTCATGTAATATTAACTAGAGGCCTACAACTATTTCCACAGAATGTTTAACGAACACATTTGGAGAAAACTGCTCCCAAAACTGCAGTGCCACCTGTTTAAGCCAATCTGGCCAATTCTGACCACCTGCCATCACGTGACTGGCAACTGCCTCCACGGGTGTCAAAATGGGTATGGTGGGGCTCAGTGTCTGGCAGGTAAGGCTGATTTTATCGCTGTTTTAAAATGTCAAAGTGGGTATGGTGGGACTCAGTGTCTGCATTTTTTCCGCCGTTTAAAAAAGTTTCAATTAATTTTATTATATTTTAATTCATTATTTGGTATAGCTAAGCTTCCAATACATTTTTATTAAATAATGTTCATACTTTTAGTGTACAATAATTTATATTGCTGATATTATCATTTAAATCATACTTTTTTACAGTAATAAATTTTGATTAATATTATCATTTATTTTTTTATTGTTGATATTTTATTGTTTAGCTTATTCACCGAGTGATACGTCTAGTGATGCTGCTATTGCGGTACCGATTGTTGTTGTACTTCTGATTCTCATAGGAGCTGTAGTTGGAATTTTTATTTGGCGGTACGACTTAATTAATAATTAACTAACATTGGTTTAGTAGGACTTAGTTATCTGACACTGGCTTCGTATGACTTAATTATCTGACACTGGTTTAGTTTAGTAGTAATTAATTAAATACACAAAATATGTAAGTCGCCTAGAGAACTAAAACAGCTAAAATTATAATGTGTCTAAATTTGAAAAAAAAATCTGTTCTAAAACACTTACATCAAAATGTAATAAATTAACACTAGAAAGCTTTACAGCTATTCAATTCGTTGTTAAGTAATTTTTTTTTTCTTACTTGTAGCCTACTTTCATTCAATTAAGATGGTTTACTTATACATAGATCTAATACAAAACGTCTTAATATAAAAAAAAGAAAATAAATAAAATAAAATAAAAACCTGAAAATACAAATGTGTAATTAAATGATGTTTCCAGTGATTTTTTTTCCTCGGCGTGGTGGGCTGAGGGGGGGGGGGGGGGGGGGACGGGACGGGGTGGAATTTGGGTTTTTAAGTAGAGCTGAAATAAATTAGGGAGAACAGAGAATTAAAATGATGCAGATTTTAAGCAATCGGAAAAGTTATGTTATTACAATGTTAAGCAATATCACTTTAGATAGTGATGAAAATAAAAAGTTGCTAAGGAAAACAATTTTGCAAAGTAAAATGCTTTTTTGCATGCACTGTTTTTAAAATTCCATGTGTTGAATGGTGTAAAACCCTGTTTTTAACTATCTTGCATTTACTTGATAATATTATTTTATCAATGTGAACTAATACCCTTTGGTATCGATTAAAATATCGTTCTTTTTATTAAATTATTATTTAAAATTTTAGCCATGACAACTCTCAGATATCACACCACGGGGTTGTCCATTACTAAGGACAATTTATCTAGTTACGTCCCTTTATTTCAGAAACAAGAAACAAAAAACCAAATCATCAAGTCAGGACAGAGAGAGGATTAGCACGATCGAAGCCCAAATAGCAGACCCAGATAAAAATGGCTTGGATTTTCACGGTGTGTGTTATAAACGAAATTCTTAATTCTTAATGTAATTAAAAATAATATTTCTCTGTGTAATATAGGTAGGCCTACTACATGGTTCTTAAAGAAATAGTTAAGTTTGTTTTATGAAGGAATGTTTTATTATAGAAAATAAGCACCAGCCTGTTCAGTACTGCTGCTCGGTGCTGACATTATTTTTTGGCAATTGAAAAGTTATCTCTACGTGTGAACTATGAATAGTCTGTGTCAAATGTATCCTCCCCCCCCCCCCCCCCTCCATCTGCAGTTAAAACATTAGGACTGGGTTTACTAAATGACTAATGAACTGAACTTTTAAATCTATAGGCATCAGTGGCGTAGCGAGGTCGGGTGTCACCCGGTGCGGCACTTAATGGTGTCACCCCCCAGAGGCGTAGCGACCCTTCCCGGGGACAAATTTTCGATTTGCACCCCCCCCCCCCCCCGGTCAAAACTTTCGATTTGCACCACCCCCCCCCCCCCTCAAGTTTTCGATTTGCATCCCCCCCCCCTCAAGTTTTCGATTTGCACCGCCCCCCCCTCAAGTTTTTTCTCTATATATTTTGCTATTTTTTGCCTTGGTGTCACCCCCCTAAATGGTGTCACCCGGTGCGGTCCGCACCCCCGCCCCCCCCCCACCCCCCCCCCCCCCCCATCTCGCTACGCCTCTGATAGGCCATTTTGTGTTTTAACCAGTGGTCCACGTTCTTACCTTACTTTATTTACTGTGATTGCTTTCTACCTCAGTGATAATTTTGTTATAAATTGTTACTAAAATGGTGTACTGTATTACAGTAGTTTTGAACAGTCTTTCTGTGTTTGTACAGTGTAATTAGGAAATATATTAAATTTTCAGTTACTAAAGGAAAAGATATAAGTACAGATAATCAAATTGACATAGATCAAATGGCAATTTATAGTAATACACCAGGAAGAGAAGAAAATACAACAATAGCAGTTGATGATTTGAACAACTTCATGTTGTGCCACAAGAAGGAATATTTTTGAGGAACAGTTTTAAGGTAATAACCAGTTTCTGTGTGCCAGAGTTTCTTCCAGGCATCCCCCCAAAGAAAGTTTACCACCCCCTGAACAAAATGGAATTTATATTGAAAATATATACTTTTACCAGTGTCCGCCCCCCCCCCCCTCCTCAGATAAAAAGTCTGGAAGGAACACTGGTGCCAAAACTGTCAGTGTATTGCTTTCTAATAAAATGTGCAAAATAATAAATAATGATCTTTGAACAGCACCTAATGATGAGATCTCTCTGTTGTTAAGGTTGAAATTTGTATAGAAAATATTGAGAATTGTTATGTTTTTTTTTTGGCTTCTAATTTGTATGACACTTATTATCCTAACAGAAAATCCCAATCAATTGCAATGCATCCATGTCTGTGGGTTTGAATACAGAAAACAAAGCTAAAAATCGATACAAAAATATAAGTGCATGTAAGTTTTATTGTAATTTTATGTGATGTGTCTATTGTTATTAGTTGAAGTTGTTTATATTTGAAATCCTATTTAATTTGTTAGGTCATCATAAATATTTTCTAGTGTATATTTCAAATGGTGTAATCTTCAATAAGCAATAGTTTTGTTAACTGATTGATGTAAGTGTTACTGTTGATAGGTTCCATTTTCCCTAACATTTAGTATAATTTGTGTTTCACAAATGACCTTTCAACAGATGACCATTCCAGAGTCCATCTCATGTCTTGCCCTGAGAAAAAACAAGGAGACTACATAAATGCCTCATTTGTTAAGGTAAATATATTACAACTTGATTTTACAGTGTGGTGGACAATGTAATTAGGCTAAAGTTATTATGTGTATTAAGTTACTGTGTATGAGAGTTAACAGTTTTATATAGAACATTTCATTTTTTAAAAAAAACACAAAACATGTGTCTACATTTGAAAATTAAGTTCACAGCTCTAGTGATATTTAAAGACATCCATAGGTTTGATGGTTTAATTCTTACTTGTGAACATTATTTTTTACAGAGTTACAAAAATAATGAGATATTTATTGCATCACAAGGTGAGATAAACATGTACATCCCATGTGGGTCAATTGTCCCTCCGCTTAAAGTTAAAACTTTTAACATGATCCAATCTTTGATTAGAGTAGTTCTCTAGATTAATTAACTGCTATGTAACAGCTTGTTTAAATTACATATATCTCAATTTTATAATGATTGCTATTTTAGAAAATAAATCTCAATTTAAGCCATAACCTGAATTTTGAGTATTCATTGTGGCTCTTTTCAGATTTAGCAAAAGTTTATTTTAATGTGATTATTTTAAGGTATAATTATTTTTAAACTTAAAGTTTTAGCACAGTAAGCATTTGCTAATTAAAGTCAGCTTAGTTGATAAAGTTTTAATGAAACAATATTTCAACCTTATTTTCAGGTCCAAACAAAATCATCCTTGAAGATTTCTTGAGAATGATATGGGAACAAAAGTCTGAAAAAGTTGTTATGCTCACCAACCTGATAGAAGAAGGCAAAGTATGGAGTGGTATAGGCTTATTGGCTAAATGAAATTAAATTGAGTTAGTCAGTGGGTTTTGTGCTGAATAGTGTACAAAAGTTAAGTAGATGAAATAGAGTTCGTATTTTTGTAACCTCACCATATAAAGGAATAGATTTTATTAAATAAGACATAAAATGATAACAAACATCAAAATGAAGGACAAAGCCAAACATAATTTTACTGTCAAAAATACTGTAAGCTGTAACTTATATTTCCAAAGCAATCTGTTCACTAGGTAAAAACTAACAGGTCTTTATTAGCAAGTTTTAGCACTAGAAATCCAATGCAGGGAAATATTTCCTTATATTTGTGTCATTTGTAAAGATTGTTTTTCCTTTCAGCAAAAATGTGAACAATACTGGCCAGATGAGAATGCAGCAAAGTTTGGTGAGATTGAGGTGAGGCTGATCAACAAACAGGTGTTTGCTGACTACACAGTTAGGAAACTTGAACTTTGGATGGTAAGCTCAGCTGTGTGTGCAATGTGTGGTTGGCACCTACATGGTGTTGTTAACATACACGCAAAAACTATTCTTTCAAAGATTTGTTTTATATATATATATATATATATATATATATATATATATATACATATATATATAAATAGAGAGAGAGATACATAGATAGATAGATATATATATATAAATATATATATATATAGATATAGATATAGATATATGTATATATCATTAAAATATACTGTTTTAATGTTGTGATGAAAATACGATGTTGTTTATAATAACTATTAGCATCTACATTTAACAGTTTTAAAGATTAAATCTGAATTTGTCAAGATTAAACTTTATAAGAAAATAATTAAAAGCACACTACTTGTGTTGCAGATGTACATACTGTGCTTTTATTTACAGGTTGGCGAAGCCTCACACCCATTAACACATTTTCACTTCACTTCATGGCCTGACAAAACTGTGCCATCAACTCCGTGGAGTTTGGTGGACTTCCATCAACGTGTTTTCTCTACTCCTGCCAGTAAAGCTATAGTTGTGCACTGCAGGTAGCAATTAATTCTCAGACTTGTATTGTAATATCTTGAACCTTATTAAATATTCTTTGCTTTTTTATAATTAAATAACTCATGGAAACTAAATATTATGCAAAATTATTAATGCGATTGTGAGGAAGGACCTGTATTAATTCTTTGTGATTTCTTTTTTTCTGATTTAAAAAAAAACACATCCCATATCAAACAAATGTAGAATAAGTATGCACATATAATTCTAGCACATAATAACTATTTGGCATTCCTCTAATTGTTACTCATGTTTACATTTAGTGCTGGTGTAGGAAGAACTGGAACATTCATTGGTTTACACAATGTAATCAAACAAGCAGAGGCCACACAAACTGTGGATTTCTACACCACATTAAAATCTTTAAGAGAAGACAGGGTCTACATGATCCAGACTGCGGTACGGCAAACTGTCACTACACTTACTGTGCTTGTAGTTTTAGTAGAAATCAAGAAAGCATATAGCAAATATGTGTATATATATATATATATATATATATATATATATATATATATATATATATATATATATACATATACGGCCTATATACAAAATAATTAAATTGTAAAAACTTTTTGAAAATATTCTGTACAGGAGCAGTACATCTTTCTGCACCACGCTGCACAAGTTGGGATATTGTGTGTTGGCACCACTATCCAGCGACATGACATCAGTGAAAAGATTTTAGAACTTGAGATGAAAAACACTGACAAATATAATTTTGAAAAAGAGTTTAAGGTAATTTTTCAGAAAAAAAATATTATTCCAATTTAAAAATCTATTTTTTTTACATGAATGTATCCTTAATTATTGAAAATATTATTTTCTTATTTTAAATTTGAAAATCAATTCAGATGGTGAAGAAAAAATCAACTTTCCAGATTAATTTGGAGGTGTGTTCTGATTAGCTTGTATAACTTAATTTTTCAGGCTGTTTGTGAAGTTTGCTCTGACAAGGATGAAGGAAGAGATGATGAGGGATCTGCTGGCAGTCTCTACCAAAACAGTCGAACAATCGGGAACAAAGTCAAAAACAGATTCAGCAATATTTTACCAAGTAATTCTAGCAGTAATTCTAGCATAGATCTGTCCTTATTATTAGAATTGTTTCAATAGTAAATAATAATAATTAGTAAATGGTATGTTACATTTTTGTTGTTTAAAAAAAATACTTCAATTTAAGAACATCGAGGCTCTCCATTTTTTTAACTATGTTATATTAGTAGAAATATTGATTAGTTAATGATTATTGTGAAATTCCTGTGTTTCAAACAAAAACTTTCAATTGCAGAAGAGCAACACCGTCCATTTTTATACTGTGATTCTAAAGATATGGGAGACTACATAAATGCTGTTGCTATACCTGTACGTTAAAATACAGTTAATTTAAGTAAAATGTATAAACATGTATTCTGAAGTATTTTTATAGCATTAAATATTGTCTTTTAAATAATGTGATAGTTTCTTTCAAAGGTTTAAAAAATTCCATTGATCTTTTTGTTTGTTTATAGAGCTTTACCAAACAGAAGCAACAGTTTCTCACTCAAATTCCTTTACCTACAACAGTGGTTGATTTCTGGAGACTGGTGACTCACTTTAAAGTTTCACTAATTGTAGCTTTTGAAGTGGACCCTAAAGATAAGGATTCTGTAAGTTGTTTACTATTTTGAAGAAAAATTTAATATGTAATTTGTTTTTTATGGTAACCTCCACTATCAACACTGAATATGTCTCATATTGTTCGACAATAGGATTATATCTAGCAATCACAAAAGCTGATGTACAAAAATAAAGTTTAAAATTTTTAGGCCATTGGTGAATACCTACCAACTACAAAAGGTAACATAAGGTTCAATATTTGACAATAGGTGAATACTTACCAACCACATAAGGTAACACATAAGGTTGAATATTTGTTAGACAATAGGTAAATACCTACCAACCACAAAAGGTAACACATAATAAGGTTGAATATTTGTTAGACAATAGGTGAATACCTACCAACCACAAAAGGTAACATAAGGTTCAATATTTGACAATAGGTGAATACCTACCAACCACAAAAGTAACACATAAGGTTCAATATCTGTTAGACAATAGGTGAATACCTACCAACCACAAAAGGTAACACATAAGGTTGAATATTTGTTAGACAATAGGTAAATACCTACCAACCACAAAAGGTAACACATAATAAGGTTGAATATTTGTTAGACAATAAATGAATACCTACCAACAACAAAAGGTAACACATAAGGTTCAATATTTGTTAGACAATAGGTGAATACCTACCAACCACAAAATGTAACACATCATATGGTTACAATACCTGTTAGACAATAGGTGAATACCTACCAACCACAAAAGGTAACACATCATATGGTTACAATACCTGTTAGACAATAGGTGAATACCTGCCAACCACAAAAGATAACACATAAGATTTCAATATCTGTTAGACAATAGGTGAATACCTACCAACCACAAAAGGTAACACATCATATGGTTACAATATTTTTTAGACAATAGGTGAATACCTACCAACCACAAAAGGTAACACATAAGGTTTCAATATTTGTTAGACAATAGGTTAATACTTACCAACCACAAAAGTTAACACATAAGGTTCAATATTTGTTAGACAATAGGTGAATACCTACCAACCACAAAAGGTGTACCAGTCAACTGTGGAAACACTGAGGTAGAAACATGTTCGGTGACAGAGGGCCAGTGTTGGGAGGAGCAAACTTTGTCTGTAACACTGCACAAAAAGAGGAAGACAAGGCCGTCAATACCTTCAAGTGTGAGTGTTGGGTAGTCTAGTATACTAGTTAGGTTAGCCTGTAACTTCAAATGTATGTTGATACTTTATATGTGAGTGTTGGGTAGTCTAGTCTAGTATACTAGTTAGGTTAGCCTGTAACTTCAAATGTATGTTGATACTTTATATGTGAGTGTTTGGTAGTCTAGTATACTAGTTAGGTTAGCCTGTAGCTTCAAATGTATGTTGATACTTTATATGTGAGTTATTGTATGCATAAAATAATGCTAAACAATTTAAAAACTAGTGATTAAGACATTAACTGATAATATATTTCTTTTGTTAGTTGTCAAATGTATAGCCTACATAAACAATAAACAAAGATAATTGATTATTTTCAATGTTTTTATTTAATGTTTTTGGCTAGTTACAAGTCTGGGTGTTAGAAATTATTGTCAGTAAACATATATTTCCTATTCTAAAGTTATAATCTGTATTCTACATCTATAAATTTACAAATTTCAAATTTTTTTAATGTAATTTTAGTTACTCTGAAAATCAAATAGTGTTTCCAACAATCTACTTTTATTTACAGTTATGTACTATACTCAAAATGTCTATACTATTAAATTGTCTTCAAAGCGACATAAAATCAAACATAGGCTAACAAAATACCTACATTTTTTTTTAGAAAAATTAGATTTTTATTCTTATCCAACCTTTTTTATTGTTTATATTGACAGAGTACTCCAGAAACTGTAACTCATCTAAAATACACAGCCACTGATTATAAACCACAGAACATTTTACCTTTTGTCTTACATGCTAGGTCAAAGAAGACTCAAGATGGCAAAGTTGTTTACACATGCAGGCAAGTTTTAGATAGTAAATTTGATTATATGCAGGCAAGTTTTAGATAGTTAAGTTGATTATACATGTAACAAGTTTTAGATAGTAAAATTGATTACACATGCAGCAAGTTTTAGTTGGTAAATTTGTTTACACATAATGGCACATTTTTTATTGTAAAGTTGTTAACATATAATGACAAGTTTTTATTGTAAAGTTTTGGGTGGTAAAGCTGTTTACATATAATATTAATAACAAGTGCTAGATGGTTAATTTAGTTCCACATAATACGTTTTGGAAGGTTAAATTGTTTTCACACCGAGGATAGGTTACAATGGTAAAATAAAGTATTAGAATAAGGTTGATTTAACAATCTCTATTTGATTACATCTAAAAATGGTAGATTTTTTTTTTACTGTAGGAATGGTGCTGACCACAGTGGGCTGGCCTGTGTTTTGTCTCTACTGATAGACAGAATGGACCACGATAATTTGTTAACAGTTCCAATCGTTGTTGGCACAATAAAATCTATCAGACCACAAGTTATTCCAACATTAGTAAGTTATTTGTATTGTAATAATAATTTGACAACTATTTCAAAACTGTAATAACACATTAAATTTAATTGTGGAAAAAAGTGATTGTTATAAAATATGCTTATCATTGAAATGAACTTTCATAATGTCAATTTTTTAATAAGAATATATAACTTTTTTTTACAGGAGCAGTATAAATCCCTATACTACTCACTTAAAATGTATGTTGAGACTGATTCTGTTTATTCAAACTTTGAGACCAGAAATAATGGATTGGTTAATGCAGCTTTTGAAGACAACAAGGATGATATCAATGTTTATGCCAACTCATAAGAATTGTAAAAGTGTTATTCAGTGATCTAAACTATGCAGTCAAAATACAATTGTGAACAATTTTTATTCTTTTCATAAAAACTAATGAGTCTGTAATTTTTTTTTAAAATATATATAAATATGTTATTTTATAATTTTAATTTTCTAGACTTTTCAATGAAACTTGGTTACACTTACTATAAAAAAATGACAATTAATAATAATTACTTCTGAAACTAAGCATGTATAGTATAGTGATAATGATATTGAAAATTGAACAAAGAATAAATTCATTAATCAAAACAGAATGAAAATATAAATCATTTTTTTAATATACTGTTATTTGTATGGATTATTTTTTTATTGTGAATATGTTTGTTTTAATCCAGTTGTCATCCCTAACAGAACTTTAATTCATACATTCAAATAAATTGTATTACCTTCTAAATTAATTAATTAGAATGTAAAAAAACTCTGCTAGTTTTCTTAACACAGCTGTTTATGTATACAATAAATACTTGATGCGGCTTGCATATGAATGTGCCAAGTTTGTGTTAGGGTTATCAAAATGAAACCACATTTTTTATTTTATAATTATCATAATTAACTGATTACAGTTTTGAGTTAAAAGAGTAGAGAAAAAAATTGAAGCACAGTTTGCCCTACAATAGAAATGCTCTGCTGACACCTAGATTTTATTGTACATTGTAATTATCATTGTTTCTCAACTTTTTGTATTTTCTAATAGTAGGCAGCTTTTAAACAAATATTATTGGCAGGTCTATCTTTGTATTTTTTTGGAAGCATTTAAATAAGTTCCTACATAGACTATCTTTTACATGTTTAAATCATGCTTTAGCCCACATCATCAAATAGCTCTATGTAGATGCCTTATCTTCAATGTAAATTAGTTCGCCTATATATTTTTAACAACTTTGTTATGGATGTTAATGTTAGTCTCCTATGCACTTGTAAAACCTGTTTTACTTTATGGAGCTGAAACATGGAGAATAACTGCTACAAATAAGAAGAAAATACAACCATTTATAAACTCATGCCTCAGATAGATCATTCCAATATGCTGGCCTAAAACCATCTAAAATGAGGTACTAAGGCAACGGTCTAATCAACTAACAGCTTAAGAAGAGATCCTCCAGAGCAAATGGAGATGGATTGGCTACACACTCAGGAAGCCAGTATTCAGCATAACAAGATAGGCCCTCACCTGGAATCAACAGGGCAAAAGGAAAAGAAGGACCAATATCTGAAGACGTGACTTGAAAGAAAAGACCAAAAGATTGGATACACCTGGGGACAGTTGGAGAGACTATCCCAGGACAGAGACGCCTGGAAAGCTCTTGTCAGCGTCCTATGTCCCAGGAGGGGCGACAGGCTAACCCAAAAACTCCTACATTATATTATCATCTTGGCTCAACTACTGTAGTCATTTTAGTCAGTAAACAAATTTGAGATATGAATGTATATTTTTTGTTATATTTATTCATTTTCTATTTCCTCTATTTAAATACACGCTGCTTTTCAAATTTGTTGAAAGTTTTGTTTATATTTTTTAAAAGAAAATTGATTTCTCTAGAAATTCTTCTTCCTCTTCTTCGTTCTTAATTATTAGTGTTGAAGGGGATCGAGATTTATCTGCCAGTGGGTTTGAACTCGAGACTTTTTTCGAATTTATCAACCATGAGCTTTTTGCCGACTCGACGACGCCTCCAACACAATTAAGCGGTACGTGTCAAGTGGTTATGCGCCATTGAGGCCATTGACTCCGATTTCAGCCTGTTTTTTCTTTTTGGATTTTGCTTCCATAGCCTTTGTCCAACCAAGAACAAACTACAAGGCAGCAGTTGTTTAATTTTGGAGTTGTCTCTCCTAGAAGAGTGGCTGTCCCCAGCTAAAGAGCCTCATCTGCCCGAGACTTTTCGGTTTAGCAACCATGAGCTTCACCGACTCGACCACGGCGACCCCTTCTCTAGAAATGATATGAATGCGCTATAAAAATTGATCTGGAAATGCAAGGCAAACTAAAGCTTGATCTCGCTATGGGAACAAAGAAAACTAAGTCTCTTCTTATCAGTTATAGACCATAGAGGCACATTTTTCATATAACGTTGAGGTTACTACAAAAAGGAGTAGGTGTCTGATTTTATAAAAGGATCAATAGAGATATTATCGATCCTGGAAAATCAATTTAACACGAGGATGTTTAACCTGAAAGTCAGCCAAAGCCGTCTAACTAATGTAGGCATAAAGCCTACTTTAAGAAAACTACGTAAAACTTCTTAAAACTATCTCCTACGAGCAGTGTTTCTTCCAGACTTTTTTCTCCGGTGGGGGGGGGGGGGAGGCACTTGAAATTTTCGGGGGAGGGGGCGGACTAAAATTTCCGGGTGGGCGGACACTGTTAAAAGTATATATTTTCTATATAAATTCCATTTAGTTCGGGGGGGGGGGGGTCGGTAAACTTTCTTCGGGGAGTGTGACTTCATTTATGGACGATCCCTTAGGGGTCGTCCATAAATGACGTCACACTCGTAGTGGGAAGGGGGGGGGGTCCGTAATTTTGTGATGGTGTGTGATGAGGGGGAGGAGGGGGGTTCAGGTGGTGTGACGTCACTTTTTTGCATTATAAAAAAGCAAAGTTAGAAAACGAGTTATAGCCGTTATTTTCGTGTTTTAGAAAACGGTTTTAATAGTTGTAATAAGAATTGATCAAAATATCGATGTTTTAGAAAAACCCAACAGTAATTTCGAGGGGATTTGTAGGCTGAGGTGTGACGTCATTTTAGGGGGGGTCTGGCTTTTTGTGATGACGTGTGACGGAGGGGAGGGGAGAGATAAAAATCGTTAAAAAAGCGGGACGTCATTTATGGATGACCCCTTATATTTGAAGTTTTCGCCATATAATTTAAATGGTCATCTATAGGCGTTTGAGTAACGGGAAGTGTAAATAGTACCTGTTGTTTCTGTTGCCGGAAATCGCTCAAAAGTTGAGAGAAACAGACACATTTGATATAATACCTACATATGAACATTTGTCGACCTAACTTAGACGAGAGAAAGAGAATTAGGCACCGCGTCGCCCAGCGGTAGAGCGCTTGACTGCTAATCAGACAGTCTCGAGTTCGAATCCGGGTTCAAGTCAATAGAACGTCCCTGAGTTCACCCAATTCTAATGGGTACATAACTCATGTTAGGAAAAGTATATTGCTGACCACACTATTACTATCTATGCCGAGGTCATAGAAACAGATGAACACTGTTTCACTTTCTCCATGGACCGTTATGTTAGAAAAAGGAACTTCATTTTTAAATATAGCCATGCTATATTTAGATAAATAGTTTTAAAACACAAACTCGCTTCTTGAATGATAAAAACGTGACTAAATATGCATTCGATGATATGTTGAGCTATGCGAAGGTAGCCAGAATACCTAGTGCCTTTATAGAAGTCGGGTTCAAATTATTTTATTATGACTATCAGGAATTTGTATTTAATCAAAAACAATATTGTATCGTTTAAAGATTACGATTGTTTGAATTGTTGTTTTTTACCGTTATAACTTTAGTTCACGCAAAAGAATGTTAGAAATTAAAGAAGGTTTGTATCGGTGGTGTGGCTACAAATTTGTTCCAGAAACACGTACGCTCCAGTTTATGTTTTTAATCAACAGATATACTCTCCTAGTCAAACCTCGCACATTTTAATGACGTATTTATTAACAATGTTTACAAAAAGTACAACAAAAATGGAAGAATGCTGACATGAAATACGATTTTTTTGTAGCACACAAGCAAAATAACATATAGATCTATCTATCACCCTGCATATTTTTGAATTGCTTCACTTTGTATTTATTATTTAGATCTGCTCAGAATTGAAAACAAGTTGTCATTCTATTCAAATATCAAATATTGCTTTGAGATAAATAAATGATTATTCATTATGTGTACGAAGCACCTAAAAGACTAAGTAAGTAATCTAGATCTAGATTTCTAAATTCACCGTAAGCATTCTGAGTCAGGTTAGATCTAGAGTACAGTGGTTCGTGAAGTCGATTTGGCTTAACGAAAAAACTGTGCTATACCCCGAACTTTTATTTTAACCTGAAAACTGATACCCCTGGGGCAAGGGGGGGGGGGGGGGGTAATTTGAAAAAATTGTTGAATTATGTTTCCTTTACTTTTCCGGCTTAATAACATAATGAAAAGAATCTATATTTCAATAGCACCATCTCACACACACCCTATCTAAAGTGGTTTTAAGATTTCAATATAACATAATCTTTGAAATCGTTATGTCAGAAGTATCGGTCGGTGACGTAAATGAAATGTTAATTAATTACTTTAAGTCATCTCTTATTGCTGAGAAAACGCAAAACAATACTATGTAGCGTCGCCAGTTTCTTAATATATCAAACGTTCAGTGTCTGACTGTATATTATGACTGGCATCCTGGCTAGGTTTATACAGAGTTTCTTCCAGGCATCTCTTCGGCCCCCGTGAATTTTTTTTTACCGCCCCCCCCCCCAGAACGAAATGAAATTTATATAATTTATATAGAAAATATATACTTTTAACAGTGTCCGCCCCCCCCCCCCCCCGAAGAAAGTCTACCGCCCCCACGAAAATTTCAAGTAACCTCCCCCACCCCCGGAGAAAAAAGTCTGGAAGAAACACTGGTTTTATACTTCGTATTGTAATCACAATATGGCTTGAGTTCGGGTTAAGATTGTATTCAAATTAACGACAGGTTAAGCAAACATACCGCTTCTAAAGTTGTAAGCTAGCTTCAGCCCATGAATCTTAATTTTTAAACAAAAGCAGGGATACTTGTAGAATTAAATCCAGTGGCGTAGGCAGGGGGGGGGGGGGGTTAGGGGGGGTCATAACCCCCCCCCCCCCATAGACCCCTCGGTATATATATAAAAAGTATGAGGTGGGGGTGCAAATCGAAAGTTTGAGGGGGGGTGGAAATCGAAAGTTTGTCCCCGGGTAAAAATTGGACCCACCCTTGAGACGATCCTGGCTACGCCACTGATTAAATCTGTATATCTTACGGAATAGCTCTCTAAAAATATCAATAACAATTGGAGCTTATCAACTGTATTTTTTTTCTACTTGTATCATACAGACAAACTAGGAGCAACGGGCAATCCAAATGTCAACCTCATATCTCAGACTTGCTGTTTTTACAATCTCCTGGGCGGCGATTTCAGCTAAAAGTAAGTCTATTTCATTGTTTCGTATTAGGTACATGGGAGGCTGAAAGAATATGCAGGACTTGGGACCTGCTGAAAAGAGTGGCATGAGACTGTGGACAATGGAAATCTTTAACAGAGGCGCTATGTTGCGCGGAGTTTCTTCCAGTCCCCCCTCCCCACCCAATGAAATCTATATAGAAAATATATTTTTTAACAGTGTCCGTCTCCCCACCCCGGAAATTTCAAGTGCCCCCCCCCCCCCAACGAGAAAAAAGTCTAAAAGAAACTCTGATGTTGCGCAAGGAAGGAAAGGAATAAGGATAATGAGGAATAGTGTAAACATTAAAATATATTACATTACACTATGTAAAGTAAATCTAAATCGCCATTGTTAAATTAAACAACGACGTATGCATAATGCATGTGTTTATCAATGAGGTTAGTAATGAGAATCTAATAATAGTAACATCGTTGTAAGTTGTATCTCTTGCCCTAATTAATATCGCCTACTAAATTTGTTTAAACACATCGCAAAGCCCTAAATGTTTGTTTTTAATCCACACTTAGAGTAAAAAATGTAAATTACTTCATGGTACGTTGACAAAAGGCAACATTGTACCATATAGGGTTAAAATATCATCAACTATATAGGAGTAGCTAAGTTTTAATTTGCAAAGGTGATGAATCCTATACATAGACAGATTTTAGTTTACAAAGTGATGAATCCTATTCATAGACTGGTTTTAGTTTACAAAGTGATGAATCCTATACATAGACAGATTTTAGTTTACAAAGTGATGAATCCTATACATAGACAGATTTTAGTTTACAAAGTGATGAATCCTATACATAGACAGGTTTTAGTTTACAAAGTGATGAATCCTATACATAGACAGATTTTAGTTTACAAAGTGATGAATCCTATACATAGACAGGTTTTAGTTTTCAAAGTGCTGAATCCTATACATAGACAGATTTTAGTTTACAAAGTGATGAATCCTATACATAAAATAGGTTTTAGTTTACAAAGTGATGAATCCTATACATAGACAGGTTTTAGTTTACAAAGTAATGAATCCTATACATAGACAGGTTTTAGTTTACAAAGTGATGAATCCTATACATAGACAGGTTTTAGTTTACAAAGTGATGAATCCTATACATAGACAGGTTTTAGTTTACAAAGTGATGAATCCTATACATAGACAGGTTTTAGTTTACAAAGTAATGAATCCTATACATAGACATGTTTTAGTTTACAAAGTGAGAAATTATATATACATGAGTCACCAATTCCGGTTTAGAAAATAAAGAATCATATATACTAAG